TTTTTTTATCCATTTCTTACCCAGTTTGATCTACAGCTTCATACTTTAGTTTTCATTTTATCATTTGTGTATTCATCCCAAAAATGTCACGGCATCCGAAGAATGTCAAGTTAGAGAAAATATTAGAGAAAATAAAAAATATTGACGAAGATTGTTCTGGAAATGATTAAGAAATTTCTGACATTGAAGGTGATACAAAGGGAAATAATTATGATTTAGCTGACGACTCAGACATCAATAGTGACGAAGAAAATATTTTGAACAAAAGACAAAACGCAAAGGACAAAAAAGAATGAGATTTATAGTTAGTTCTGAAAGTGAGAATGAAGAAGAGCTAACCGAAACTGCTATAGACTGAATTGTTTGGCAAAAAATGAAAGAAGAATCTAATTGCAGAAAAGCACGGATTCATAATATTTTTAGGAAAAAATCAGGACAGAGTACACTAAACGAAATATTATGAAAGATAAAGGAAAGATAGTTTCATTTCCCTTCATTATTGATCATAATATAATCGAACATATAAGGAAATGCACGAAAACAAAAGCATTTCATGTGTGGGAAGTCGAATGGCACCTAATGACTGCAAAATTATATTCATTTATTGGACTTCTGTATGCACATATGAAATATAGACATATCGTTATTATGGAACAAAAAATGGGGTCCAGCATCTTTCTCGAATACAATGAACAGAAATGACTTTACAGAAGTTATGAGTTCATTCGATTTGATGACAGAAATCAACGAAGCCAGCGTTTACAAGCCGATAAATTCGTCTTGATTTCCGAAGTTTATTAAGAACAGTCAAAATTGTTATAAACTAAGACCATATCTATCTATAGATGAACAATTGCTTCCAACGAAAGTAAGGTGTAGATTTACACAGTACATGCCCAATAAACCGGATAAATTTAGCATAAAATTCTGGTTAGCTTCCGATGTCAAAAGCAAATACATAATAAACGGTTTCCCATATTTGGGAAAAGATGAAAGGAGAGAATCTTCGGTTCCACTTGGGCAGTTTGTTACCCTAAAATTATTCTATATGGGCTGTGGAAGAAATGTCACCACGGACAATTTTTTTACAAGCATGTCATTAGTTTTGTTGACATGTTTTACAAGCATATCAACAAAACTTTTAACAAAAAAAAAACTACGCTTGTTGGAACTATTCGGGGAAATAGAAGGGAGCTACCGAAATTGGCGAAACAGACAAAGGAGAATATGAATCGTTTCTTATACAAATCAAATAATTGTAATCTGACAATGTACAAAGTCAAACCTAAAAGGTACTGATGAAGCACTTAGTTCAATGCATTCATCCATCGAAATAGAAAAAAAAATGATAAATGACTCGTATACCAGAAACAATAGAATTCTATAATAGTACAAAATTCGATGTACATGTAACCGATCAAATGGCCAGAAAATACAGCACAAAATCTAAATCACGAAAATAGTCTTTACAAATATTTTAATATTTTAAATTTAGCCGGGATAAATTCTTGGACTTTGTACAAAGAAACGACGGGAGAAGAAATTTCGAGGCAAGAATTTTTATTTCAATTGGGAGAAGTGCTTGTCACAGAATATCAAAAAGAAGAACAATTAGGAAAGGATCAGCGAAAACAATAACTACACATTCATGTAACTGGAAAAAATGCCAAAAAAGATTTTGCAAAGACAATAAGACGAATAAAATCTGTTTGAAATGTGAAAAACACACATGTGATGAATGTACAGTTAAAAATCCTCTAATTTGTAAAAAATGTGGTGAAACTAAATAAAATAAATATTGTTTATTTTTAAATACAAAAAAATATTTTGTTCACTAATTGTTTATAATCTTCATTCTGTATTAAGAAATATATTTTTTTAACTCTAAAGAAGTCATATGACCCTTCACGGTAAGAATTAGTATATATGAAGTCTCGGTAGGTTTAGTGTTAAAGGAACAATTTAGAATTTCCTGACGGAAGCATAGTTATCAAATCTAAAAATTGAACATGATTGCCACATTTTTGTTCCATCGATCGGTCCTGTCCGAGAAATGAAACTTGCAAAATAATCGACTGCATGATTGTTCGTTGTCTTAGAGTCGGGTATTTGCTCGAGCTCAATCAAAATTATCCGATCAAATTTAACTCCGAAATGTCTAATACTCCCCCAAATTTGAATAAATTTTTAGAATAAAATTAAAGATACAAATCTTATCATAACTTCATAAAAAGAATCATGTAACACTTTACTTGAATTCTTTTTAAAATATAAAGCTTTTGCTTCAATCACCCTGAACCTTTGTTTGTTTGTTTGTTTTTTTTTTGAAGATATTTTTATACTATGTAGCAAGTGAGAAATTGAAAAAATTTCTATTCTCGAAATTTGTAAAATTTCAAACGTTTTTAAAAATATTGAGAATTTTTTTTATGACTGGAAATCCACCATAGAAAATTTAAATTATCTTTCAATATCCTAAAACTTGCTATAAAGAAATTCGGTAGTATGTATATAGAATCCACGTGATAGGAAAAGTATAAACATAACATAAAC